AGGAATACACCATAACTTAGCTACGTACCTCAAGTGGGGCGTTACAGACATGCACTGAACAAAAATCTCAAAAGGGAATCGAATTAAATATCATGAACAAATTTGTATAGAGATGAGTAATATAGTATATCAACAAATCAATTATAACAAACAGAAATCTGAAAAGGTTGTAACCTGGTAGTACCGAACAATATTCTTATGTTGTAAACGAGCGAAAACATATACCTTCCTACCATCACATTATAATGGAACCAGATCAGTAAATCCAATTAGGAGAAGTCCTTTGTACAAAAGATGACATGTTGTAAAAGATAAAACTAGTATCAAAGTAAAAAGTTATACCTCAAAACCTTTTCACTGTTGTTATCATTAAATTCTATAGTTTTGATGGCATAAAATTTTTTGTCCAACATGTTTATAGCCTTTACAACTTGTCCATAACCACCCATACCTATGCCATCCTAAGTTTCAAGTAGAACTCCAACATTGAAACTGATTTTATAACATGATACACTTTTGACAGATAAATAATATATTAAAGCAGACATAAATTTTCACAACTAAAATTACCAAAAGTAATCAAATTAAAAGAATGATTAGAAAGGAAAAAAAAAATGTGAAGTTATATATAAACAATATAATATTTAGTAATAAAAGACAATAGCACATAAGACCTATGTGGTCCTATATTCAATTTAGATCACAGATTTAGGTTTACTTTATAGGCTTTAGCTTACCAAGTTGAGTTTTGGTGCTGAACTCAGTGTCATATTGAGAGCCAGAAGTTAATTGCTTTGCAAATTTTTTATCTGTCTTGTCTGCAGAAATATTCATCTTAATATGATAAAGTGCAATCATGGTTATCATACCCACCATGCCCAATTCTCTTGGCATTATTTTGTCTTCCCTGATACTGTTATGTGTGCATATATATATATANAGTTGAGTTTTGGTGCTGAACTCAGTGTCATATCGAGAGCCAGAAGTTAATTGCTTTCCAAATTTTTTATCTGTCTTGTCTGCAGAAATATTCATCTTAATATGGTAAAGTGCAATCATGGTTATCAGACCCACCATGCCCAAAACCATAGTGTGTATATATATATATGCACACATAACAGTATCAGGGAAGACAAAATAATGCCAAGAGAATTAGTTTTTATAACTTTATATAAAATGCAAGAACAAATTAAGAATGAGAAAAAGAAAGCACTATGAACCCTAACATGCATTTAACTAAGAATTGATGATATTATTAAGCAAAAATTTAAGCACATACAGTTAATGAATATTAATTTATGAAAAGAAACTAAGATTCTACTACTCCAAATTTTTAATCTATGCCTAAAATGAAATAACCAATTATTGATTTTCATTTCAAGTATTGTAGTGCAGTTTTCTTTGACTGAAATTTTCAATAAAAATATAACAAAACTAGCTATTTAATGAATTGCTCTTCAGAGTTCAAAACCAAAAGAAACTATTAATGCTAAGGAAATTACATACCATTTTCACAATAACCAAACCGAAACATAACATTGGAGCTTTTTAAACAAAGACAATAAAACAATGTTTCATTCCAGCGAATTGATGGTTATGAAACAATTATACATACCAACAGCCACCTTAGCTGGGCCCTTAGCAGGCTTTATGTAGTACTCACTTATATCCCCATAAAGAACTTGCAAATTAGTTAATAATATATATAAATATATATATATATATATATACCTATTCAATAAATCACCTCTCAGCGTAGTGTGTAAGTGATCTGCTTCATTGATAATGTTTCTTTTTGCTTATTGCAACCCAAACAAACAAGTTAATTCAGTTTCTTCATTGCAGCAAGTTTTTCTCACTAAACAAATAGAGACAATGAATTCTTTCGTTGTCTCAACAAACAAACAGAGAAACATACATGCGACTAACACCGAAGCTAAAATTGAAGCAAAGGAAAATTATTTCAATTTTAACAGAAACAAGATCAAATCAAAATTTCTCTAGTTAATCACTTATTGTTCCTTTGAATTTCTCACTAAACAAACAGAGACAACAACAAACAAACAGAGAAACATACATGCGACTAACACCGAAGCTAAAATTGAAGCAAAGGAAAATTATTTAAGTTTTAATGGAAACAAGATCAAATCAAAATTTCTCTAGTTAATCATTTATTGTTCCTTTGAATTTCTCACTAAACAAACAGAGACAATGAATTCTTTCATTATCTCAACAAACAAACAAACAAACAGAGAAACATACATGTGACTAACACTGAAGCTAAAATTGAAGCAAAGGAAAATTATTTTAGTTTTAATGGAAACAAGATCAAATCAAAATTTCTCTAGTTAATCACTTATTGTTCCTTTGAATTTCGCACTAAATNAATTTCTCACTAAACAAACAGAGACAACAACAAACAAACAGAGAAACTTACATGCGACTAACACCGAAGCTAAAATTGAAGCAAAGGAAAATTATTTAAGTTTTAATGGAAACAAGATCAAATCAAAATTTCCCTAGTTAATCATTTATTGTTCCTTTGAATTTCTCACTAAACAAACAGAGACAATGAAATCTTTCATTGTCTCAACAAACAAACAGAGAAACATACATGTGACTAATTCCAAAGCTAAAATTGAAGCAAAGGAAAATTATTTCAGTTTTAATAGAAACAAGATCAAGTCAAAATTTCTCTAGTTAATCATTTATTATTACTTTGCATTTCTCACTGCACAAACAAAGAACTGATTATTTTTTCTTCCATTGTTAAAGAAATACTTACAATAAGCGTGGCGAAGACAGCGGTTGATCCACTGGAAAGCTCCATAAGGTCTCAACTCGTCTTCCCTCTGCTCTGTATTCTCCATATCTCAACTATTTCACTTGATTCTTCCAGAAAATGAAGAAGCAAAGGATTTATATAGGCTACTGAAGAGAGTGAAGCACGTGATCAATCGCCCGACGATTTGTTTGAGAGGCAGCAATGCGTTGCGCGCCAAGTTATGTAAACATTTGGCGTTACAAATCCCTATTTTACCCTGTAATTCCTATTACATTGTAAAATGCTAAAGTTCTTCTTATTAATACTAATAATATTGGGGTCACCCAGTGTATAATTTTTAACTCTGTTTTTTAGACAATGGAAATACTAATGAAAAAAATATAGACGCATTTGAAAAGAGCCTCGATGTTTTCTTTTTGGCCCATAAATATTTCGTGGGCATCCGTAGGTATCTATTTCAATGCAAGGGATGCATGATATCATAGACCAATAGATCTATGATATCACGCACCTTTGTTTTAGCATCGGACATTGATAGATCTCCAGTTGCAAAAGTGAGGAAGGTAGACCTGTGTTACGGAGTTGAGAACAGAAAATCAAACTCAGCAGCTACTAAGTAAAGAAGAAGATCTACAGTATTTGTTTCAAAATCTTCACTGTTCAACGGTTACATTAACGTAGATACAGTACCCATACAGTGCTTTTTTTTTTTAAATCCTCACTGTTCAACGGTCATATTAACGGCACAAGTTTTTGTTCTGTTAGTTCTCCTTAGATCTACGGTGCCGTTTTATTATACAGTCAGTTGTCGGTTGAAGAATAAAGATTCAACAACTTCAGCTCAATGAGCTACAGAGTTTTGCTTTCATTTTAACCGAAGCTTATCAAATCTGTTAAGAAGCAATCAGTTTGTGTTTCTTTTGAATCAGTTGTGTTTTGCTATACGTGGACTCATTTTGAGTATGAAAACAATTCATAATCAGTTTGTAATTAAGCTGAATATTAACAAAGTTTCAGTTCTGGAAAATTTCATCTTCTCTCAAATTTTCTGTTTGTTTCTCTGGAAAGTTTTACACTTTCTGGTTTTTCTTCATTCGATCCTAGGATTGTCACAACCCGGAAAGGACATGAGCTTTGGACAATGATAGATGATTGAAACCGAAATTGAAAATCTCTTGGCATTTGAATGTTATTATAGATTGCTCGTCATATGATAGATGTCTTTAATCAGTTAACCTCTGAACTATTAGATAGGTAAATTTTGATAAATGCCATTTGAATATCTCTATATAGCCTCTGTAGAAATGCCAGTTTCTTACCAAAATAATAGTCCAGTTTGTTAACGCATATGTATGTAAATTGTAAAAACGCCTTTTAGTTTTTAGAGAGGAAAATGTCACTTTTTGAAGCTTTCACACTAAACCTTCTGTTCGTTTGTCAGAATCTCCACCATCAAAATTTTACAAGCTACACATCCCATAAATCAAGATACCCTTTACCAAATTTTATGTTTTCTCTACAGACCCATTGAAATACCAAATTTATCTAAAAAGAAGTTAAAATCTATATTTATCTATCTATATATCTATATAATGTTGAAGCAGATTGCTACATCTGATGCTACGTATAATTGATATATGATCGTCATGTAGGATATTATTAATTGGTCCACGTGTTTGATGTTTGTTGGACTTGTTATAATAGGGATTATTCGCATGCATTCTATATATCTATATAATGCTGAAACAGACTGCTTCTTTTGATGCCATGCATGATTGATATATGATTGTCATGTAGGATGTCATTAATTGGTCCACGTGTTTGCTATTAATTGGGCTTGCTATAATAGGTATTATTCACATGCGTTCAATCTATATCTATATATCTATATAATGCTGAAGCAGACTGCTTCTTCTGATGCCATGTAGGATTGATATATGATCACCATGTAGGATGTCGTTAATTGGTTCATGTGTTTAGTGTTTATTGGGTTTGCTATAATTGGATTATTCACATGCATTCAATTAATGTATTCAATATAAATCTTTGGCATTCCTCTTTTAATTTGATAAATTACTAATGATTCACGTGTGTTATTGATTTCCATGAATATTAAGAGATTTCTATAATAGAAATTATTCGTATGCATTCAATTAATGTATTCAATACATATCTTTCACATTCCTCTTTTAATTTGAGATCTTTCACATTCCTNTTTACACCCCTTTAAGACTGATTTCCGAACTGTTTTCAGCGCCTGTAAAGCAAGACACCATAAATGTTATTAGCATGAAACTTTACTAATCATTATCATCATGAGCAATTTTACAAGAACATTATGAACCCGAATTCAATAAGTAACATCTTACTTGCCTCACATCTCTGCTAGCAATATCATCCTCAAGTTCCTAAAATTAGGTATCCAAATCAATAGAGTCAAGCACATAAAACAAACATCAATTTCAAAGGAAATGGATCAGGGTCAGGATCAGGATCATACCTCAAAGAACATATGATGGATCTGCTTTAGAACTTTGAGTACGGATCCAAGTGCACCATCAAGCTCACACTCGTCCCTTTTCACTCTGAAAAAGATTGAAATTTGTTGTTGAATTGGTGGCAACTTGAAGAGAAGAAATGATATCTTTCCATGAGAATCAAATTATCCTTACGCTTCTTCCCTTCTCAACTCTGACAATGATTTAAATTTGTTGTTGAATGGGTGGCAACTTGAAGCGAAGAAATGATATCTTTCCATGAGAATCAAATTATCCTTACGCTTCTTCCATGCCTAAAATAAAGACAGCAACACACAGGATGATCAATTTTTTAAATAAGATATGACAATTAATTATATTGCTGATATAAATACATTTACATTTTCTGTGTCATCAAGGATCACAATAGCGTTTTCATGACCCAGCACAACATCCAGACCTTTTTCATGTCTTTGAGTACCATCATCTCGTGAAATCACTCTAGTGCCAAAATACACCCCACTAGGATCAAGCAGCTTAGCCATTTGTAACGCATACGGTCTATCACCCATCGTGTGTATGTACATTTTGAACATATTACTTGCTTCTTTCAAAAATGTTTGAACAAAGGGCCTCAACTTGGTCATCATATGTATAGAATCCAACATGAAGAGGCTGCCTCCCGAAACATCTATCCATTCAAAATATTAAGAAAAAATTCAATAAAATTGTTTATAACAGCATCAAATGTGGAGACTGTATCGGCTTGTCTCAAGCAATAACTCAAAAGCTTATCTTCCTTGATATAAACTACATGTGACTAAATAAGAATCAAAGTACATAACTTAAATTCAGGTGCAAGGTATACTAGAGTAAAGAGATAATCAATAATCTAGTTCAGTTGATTATGCTGAGTATAATGATGCTTTTTATGTGATTGAATCAACAGTATTTTGGTTATTTTCCAAACTTGCTGCACTCACCAACTAAATGTATGCAACTAAATGTATGCCCAAGGGGACCATTTTTACTATAATCAATCCATAAGCTTACCATCTTCTGTCCTTTCAGCCTGTTACTTGTTAGTTCTATTATAGCAAACCAAAATCAAAGTTCGTAGTTTGGCATTCAAGCTATGAACTACAAAAGAAAAATAAAAGTACACTAGCACTCAGCCAAATATCAACAAAACAATGATATAAAAGCAAGAAAACAATTTCCAAGCAAGCCAACCACAGGGATAGGCACCAATCACATACCCTGCAGAGGATGTGTTTGAATCTTCAGATATTCCTCCTGTGGAGTCAAACGAATTATCTCAGTTGAATTGAGCAGTGTATGATCAAGGTCGAGTACCAAGTAAAGCTTTTTATTTCGTGATAAATTTTTCATGTCCTCAGTTTGCAATCTAACGACATCATTGTTACCGAGCCTTAGACCCTACAATTACAATTGTTTCCCACACATTATCACTATAAGAGCAAATTACAAGTGTACTGCTAGTATAGTATTAACAAACCAAAAAAAANATGAGTTAGTTTGTCCCACATTGAAAAGGAATGAAAAGTGGGAAACTTTTGGGGCCTATATATAAGGACCTAAATCATTGTTAATTGTATCCCAAGTTGTAATTCCATTATACTTCTTTGTTTAGGGTTCTTTCTTTAAGGACCCTTTAGTTTGTAAGTTTTGTTGTATCTCCCCTTTGTTTTGGGTATTTGTTGTATTGCCCAAAAGTTTGTAATGTTTTGGAGATAGTGGAGTTTTCTTTTGCAGCGTCCGAGGACGTAGGTTTTAATACTGAACCTCGTTAATTTCTGGTATTCTTTATTTTTGCATTTAATTTTGGCAATTTATTTATGCTTTACTACCTGTTATTATTATATTCAATAGCTAGCGTTAGAGTTTATGTTTCCGTTGCATAACACCGTGCAAGGACAAAACTGATGAATTTGGATTCATTGGGGTGTCGAGAGGTGCTTTATGTTATTCCAACTACGATGGGTCACACTTATTTATTTGGCATTTTGAATATCATAGCAAAGCTACTGAGTTCTGGGTATTGAAGCATCGCATTTGGATCGAAGGTTTGCAGTATAAACATCCAGCTGGATGGCATCTGTATTCGTACCGTCGGACTTCGATTTTTAAGGCCTATCCTATTCACCCAACTTCAGATATCATCTTTCTTCGGATCTTGAACATGATATTTAGTTATCATCTTGGAAGCCATACATTGAGATTGCTTCATAAAACGCCAGCATGGGAAAAAATTATTTGGGGCCAGGTCTTTTGCCACCCTTCCTCACCTTGTTTCTTCATGTTGAATAATGCTACCAGACAAATCGTGAACCCTCCTAGCTGTAAGTTTACCTTTCCCTTATAAAGTGTTTCAGTTCATTGGATTGCAGAACTATAAAAAGTCACCTACCAAAGTCATACCCTATCTATTTACTAATTCGATTCATTAAGTGGTCAAATGATTCAAATGCTGGAAGTGCTTTCAAGGAAAGTGCTTTAGACCAAAAGCCCTTTTAGCAAAATCACTCCAAAAAGCTTCTCAAAAAAGCGCCCATTAACTGCTTTCAAAGAAGCACTTCTGTTTGTTTCAGCCAAATTGATACTCCTTCAAAGCGACTAATGCTACACATTTCAGCCGAGTTCGTCTAAAAATTAGAAAAAGAAGTGGTTTGAGTTTTGGGATGTATGGTTTTGGAGATAGTGGAGTTTTCTTTTGCAGCACCGATGACGAGGTTTTAATACTGAACCTCGTTAATTCCTGGTATTTTTTATTTTTGCATTTAATTTTGGCAATTTATTTATGCTTTACTACTTGTTATTATTATATTCAATAGCTAGCGTTAGAGTTTATGTTTCCATTGCATAACAATTGGTGTCAGAGCCTAGGTTTAGGACAGTGAGTAGCTATTTGTATGGTTATATGCATGTCTAGGAAAATTCTGTCAAAAGAAGATAAAATCTAAGGAGACTGGATTTTAAGTGGGACCATTTGTACCCCTCCATTGTTTCCTGCGAATTTTCTAGTGCGTATTTAATCATTTCAGCACTTACTACTACTAAGGCTATTGTGATTTGTTGTTAGCTATTGAATATAATAATTGTGGTGCTTGGTTATTGGGAACTTTGTTTACCAAGCCAATTGAGCAAGGCATAAATGGCATCATTGTCTGAGGATTCACGTCTGAGGCATCACCGTTTGCAGCACCACCATCCGTACCTCTAAAGATGATAACGGTTTCAAATGCAAAAATTGATGTTGAAAATTTGATGGTCAAAATATTTTGGCTTGTGGCAGAGTGAGGTAATGGATAGCTTGTATCAGCAGGATCTAGATATCGTTCTAGAGGAGAAAAAACCAGAAGATATCTATGAAAGACTGGGTGAGGTTGAATGTAAAAGCTTGTGGGATGATTCGCTCATGTCTTTGTAGAGAACAGAAATATCCATTCATGAAAGAGATGTCTGCCAATAGTTTGGAAGGCGCTGGAAAACAAATACATGAAAAGAAGTAATGAGAATCGACTCTATTTATGAAAAGATTGTTTCGTCTTCTGTTGAGACCAGGTACGAATATCAGTAGCCTATTGATACATTTAACAGATTATTGCTGATTTGTTAAATTTGGATGAAACATTCAAAGATGAACATAAAGCTATGTTATGATTGGATCTCTTCCAGATGAGTTGGATCATCTTAGTATTACACTTCTTCATGGGAAAGAAAAATTACCTTTGAAGAAGTTTGTTCTGCTCTGTCCAATCATGAATTCGGAAGAAGGATCAGAAGGAGAATAGAGATGAGTCAGCAGAAGCACTTGTAGCAAGAGGGTGGAGTCAGAGTCATAAGAATGAGAGAAGAGGAAGATCTCGTTCGAAGGGAAAACTCAATAGGGATCAATGTGCCTTTGTCGTGAGAATGGACATTGGAAGAAAGATTGTCCGAAGTTGAAAAAGAAAGAGGGCAAAGTTGCTTCTGATGCATGCGTTGTTGAGCGTGAAGAGATGAGTCAGATTTCTGTCTAGTTAGCTTGCCATCCACCTCTGGATCAAATGAGTGGATTATGGATTCAGGTAGTACCTATCATATGTGTCTTCACCAGGACTGGTTCTTTATTTTGAAGAACGTGATGGAGTTGTTTAATGGGCAATGATGATGCTTGTAAAACAACTGGGATAGGTTCAATTCGGTTGAAGAATCATGATGGCTCAACTAGAACTCTGACAGATGTTCGGTAGTACCAAAGTTGAAAAAGAATCTCATCTCTTTGGGAGCCTTGGAACCTAAAGCTTCACAGTGAATATGCGAGATGGAATTCTAAAAGTTTCTTCAGGCGCTCTTGTGGTAATGAAAGGCACAAGGAGAAATAACTTGTATTACTATAATGGAGTACAGTTATTGGAACGATAGCTACAGTCGTACAGGAGGATGCAGATTCAGAAATGCTCAAGCTGTGGCATATGTTGTGGAGCATACTCGGCAGCAGGTGGAGTTTGAAACAACAATTGAACTAGATAGTGTCTACAAGACAGAAAGTGATTATGAGGTGACTAATGTGGATACTATGGATGAAAAGGAGATTTTACCCCAGAATCTCCTCAGCAACAGGAATTGATTGCATACAATAGGCCAAGACGAGAAATTCGCAAGCCTCTCGTTTCGTTAATATGGTGGCTTTGCACTTCCAATCGTAGGTTTGATATTCCTACTACTTATAAAGAAGTAGTTAGGAGTTCAAATGTGAATCTGGAAACCAGCCATGAATGATGAATGCGATCCCTACATAAGAAGGCGATTGGGTGCAATGGGTGTATGCAAAGAAGAAGGGATTTCCTAATAGAGAAGATGTTCGACACAAGGTAGGTTGGTAGTAAAGGGATACGCTCAAATGGAAGGATTTGATTACGTGAAGTATTTTCTCCTGTGGTAAAGTATTCTCCATTCTAATTTTGCTAACCTTGGTGGCACAGTTTGATTTTGAACTAGTTCAATTGGATGTGAAAATCATGTTTTCACTAATAGTTGGGAAGAGGAAATCTACAAGACTCAGCCAGATGATATAGGGTTGCTGGGAAGAAAACTTGGGTTTGCAGATTGAAGAAATCGCTATATAGTTTGAAGCAGTCACCAAGACAGTGGTACAAGCGATTTGATCAATGTATGATGGGCCATGGGTACACAAGGCCTGATATTTCACAAGCAGTTAGTATGGTGAGCAGGCATATGTATGATCCTGGAAAGGACATTTGCAAGTTGTGAAATGGTTTCTACAGTATATTTTATGTACTATAGATTAGGTTTAGTTTTGTGTGGATTATGTTGAAAATGGGAAAATGATTCTCCAGAAGATTGGCACAGAAGATAATCCTGCAGACATGTTGACTCAATAGTGACAAGGGTCAAGTTCATTATTGTTTGAACTTGATCAACATCCTGCGAGCTTGACTGTGCCTTTTTGTGCATTTGAAGGTGTTGCAAAATTTGGCAGAAGAATACAAACTTTGAAGATTTGCTAATCCCAAGGTGGAGATTTGTTGAAAAATAGCTTTTAGCAAAATCACATGGGGTATTGATAACCATGATTGCACTTTACCATATTAAGATGAATATTTCTGCAGACAAGACAGATAAAAAATTTGGAAAGCAATTAACTTTTGGCTCTCGATATGACACTGAGTTCAGCACCAAAACTCAACTTGGTAAGCTAAAGCCTATAAAGTAAACCTAAATCTGTGATCTAAATTGGATATATAGATAATTTTGGAATCTTACAGATTTTGGTTTATATAGTTTAGGGTTTGGAAAGTTAATTAATTTTTATTAATTCCTCCATTTTCAGTTGATTTTATTAGTATCCCATATAAAATTAGAATCTTTATTTTGTATAATATTTTGTTAATTTGTTGAATAGAAATTTGGCCCGGAATGAAAACCCTATTTGGCCTTGTGCTTACAGTGTAGAACTCAAAACAGAGTTCCCTCTTGGTACATAATCGAATAAAGTTTTGATCTTTACAATTGTTTATACGAAGAAAAAGGTTGTGGCATTACGTTATCTGGGTCAGTGTATTTATTTATCCTTAAAATTTTCGCCGTTTAAAATTGCTCCTTCCTTTGTGTTAATTTGATTCGATTACTGTGACGTAGGATCGGTTTATTCTATTTACCTGTAATCAGGTTGGATTAGAATACTTCTTTTTGGTAGTCGGAAATTATTAGGCCTTGTTTCTGTGCACCGACCTTTTACAACTTTGGTAGCTAGGATATTAGTTTACTTTAATAATGGCGGAGTGGTTATCTGATGATGTAATGATTGAGATCCTTTGCCGCTTGCCCATAAAGATTCTGGTAAGGCTCAAGTGCGTATGCAAAATTTGGAATACTCTTATTACTAATGTTTGTGTTCCAAAATTTCACGAGAGCCAGTCCTTGTATCTGGATTTTTGTTCCATGCTAAAAGGGTTCACCATGACCAAAAGTACATCACTGACTATTTTTCATATTCTGATGATATTGATCATGATGGGTTTGTCGAATCTTATACTAGTTTGTTACCATGTGAATACTATCCATATTATTTTATTAGTTGAACCTCCCCTTGCACTAGGGGTTCGTTGGTTCAGCGGACGGGTTACTTGAACAATATGTTATATAAATTAACTTATTCAAAGCATCTTTTGTGTATCAACTTTGAAGCACCAGCAGCTGATGCGATTGAACTCCCGTGTGTTGAAAAATGGCTTTTAGCAAAATCACATGGGGTAGAAGTGATAATGGAAAAAGGTTTAGGAACTTATATGTAATAGGCCAAAATGAGTTAGTTTGTCCCACATTGAAAAGGAATGAAAAGTGGGAAACTTTTGGGGCCTATATATAAGGACCTAAATCAATGTTAATTGTATCCCAAGTTGTAATTCCATTATACTTCTTTTGTTTAGGGTTCTTTCTTTAAGGACCCTTTAGTTTGCAAGTTTTGTTGTATCTCCCCTTTGTTTTGGGTATTTGTTGTATTGCCCAAAAGTTTGTAAATTGGGGGTTTTGGAGATAGTGGAGTTTTCTTTTGCAGCACCGATGACGAGGTTTTAATACTGAACACTCGTAATTCCTGGTATTTTTTATTTTTGCATTTATTTTGGCAATTTTTATGCTTTATAATTGTTATTATATATTCAATAGCTAGCGTTGAGTTTATGTTTCCATTGCATAACCATTGGTGTCAGAGCCTAGGTTTAGGACAGGAGTGAGCTATTGTATGGTTATATGCATGTCTAGGAAAATTCTGTCAAAAAGAAGATAAAAGTCTAAGGAGACTGGATTTTAAGGGGACCATTTGTGACCCCTCCATTGTTTCCTGCGAATTTTCTAGTGCGTATTTAAATTTCAGCACTTACTACTACCTAAGGCTATTGTGATTTGTTGTTAGCTATTGAATATAATATTGTGGTGTGGTATTGGGAACTTTGTTTACCAAGCCAATTGAGCAAGGCATAAAGGCATATTGTCTGAGGATTCATCGTCTGAGGCATCACCGTTTGCAGCAACACCATCCGTACCTCTAAAGATGATAACGGTTTCAAATGCAAAAATGATGTGAAAAATTGATGGTCAAAATAATTTTGGCTTGTGCAGAGTGAGGTAATGGATAGTTGTATCAGCAGGATCTAGATATCGTTCTAGAGGAGAAAAAACCGAGAGAATCTATGAGAAAGACTGGGTGAGGTTGAATGTAAAAGCTTGTGGGATGATTCGCTCATGTCTTTGTAGAGAACAGAAATATCCATTCATGAAAGAGATGTCTGCCAATAAGTTTGGAAGGCGTGGAAAACAAATACATGAAAAGAAGTAATGAGAATCGACTTATTTGATGAAAAGATTGTTTCGTCTTCTGTTGAGACCAGGTACGAATATCAGTAGCCATATGATACATTTAACAGATTAATTGTGATTTGTTAAATTTGGATGAACCTTAAAGATGGACATAAAGCTTGTTATGATTGATCTCTCCAGATGAGTTGGATCATCTTAGTATTACACTTCTTCATGGGAAAGAAAAATTATCCTTTGAAGAAGTTTGTTTGCTCTGTCCATCATGAATTCGGAAGAAGGATCAGAAGGAGAATAGAGATGAGTCAGCAGAAGCAATTGTAGCAAGAGGGTGGAGTCAGAGTCATAAGATGAGAGAAGAGGAAGATCTCGTTCGAAGGGAAAACTCAATAGGACAATGTGCCTTTGTCGTGAGAATGGACATTGGAAGAAAGATTGTCCGAAGTTGAAAAAGAAAGAGGGCAAAGTTGCTTCTGATGCCTGCGTTTGAGCGTGAGAGGATGAGTCAGATTTCTGTCTAGTAGCTTGCCACACCTCGGATCAAATGAGTGGATTATGGATTCAGGTAGTACCTATCATAGTGTGCTTCACCAGGACTGGTTCTTAATTTTGAAGGACTGAGGAGTTGTATATGGGCAATGTGATGCTGTAAAACAAATGGGATAGGTTCAATTCGGTTGAAGAATCATGATGGCTCAACTAGAACTCTGACAGAGTGTTCGGTATGTACCAAAGTTGAAAAAGAATCTCATCTCTTTGGGAGCCTGGAACCTAAAGGCTTCACAGTGAATATGCGAGATGGAATTCTAAAAGTTTCTTCAGGCGCTCTGTGGTAATGAAAGGCACAAGGAGAAATAACTTGTATTCTATATGGTAGTACAGTTATGGAACGATAGCTACAGTCGTACAGGAGGATGCAGATTCAGAAATGCTCAAGCGTGG